TATTTTTGTACAGAGGAGGCAAAAGTTAGGACCCTCAGGTAATTATAATGCCTTTTATTTTAATTACAAGTATACTAACTCTTATTGTTTATATATGGTTGATTTGTGGTTTAATTTTGTAATTGGATCCTAAATTACATTATCTTTTTTAGTTTATGACTGATTTATAAATAACTTATCTATGATTTTATATTTATTTTCCCTTTTTTTATTAAAAAAACATAGTAAACCTATAAAATGATCTAGAAATTGAACCTTTTTTTTGTTTGAATTATAAATTTAATTCTGCCTATAATTATCTTGCATTCGCAATTTTAATGTCACAACATTTGATATTTGTTCCCATTTGATCATTAAAAAAGGAATGGATTATTCAAATCCAGCTATTTGCGAACTTGTGAAAGCTTAAATTTAGTTAAACGAACTAACCTCAAACAACTAATTGAACTCATTTACTAAACAAGTCAAACAAAGTTAATATACTATATTGAAAAAGTGGCTTATTGGTCCAAAATATTCCATGCTGTCAATTGATAATGGATTCATAATCCATTATTATATTATAGAACAAAAAAATAAAAAAAATAAAATCCAATCAAATTAATTTGTCTCCCTCGTCTCATACCATGCGCCCTTGCGCGTGCATCAATTATCATTAGTACATTACACATGTTTATTTATATTTTTTATTTAGTTAGTTAAGTTTTTGACCTTAAAAACACACAGCCTAGCGTTGACTGCTCTTCTCTCTCTCTCTCTAGGAACAACGTCAGACCGTCTCTCCAAAGATCAAGGGGTCAAACAAGGTTGACTATTTGTTGTTCAGAAAATTCATGCATCTTTGTTGAAAGGGACCTCCAAAACTTCATTATTTATTCTCCGCATACTCGAATTCGCAAGGTACATATATATGAATAATAACATTAATAACACGATTACTTCGAATTCTTTTTGAGAAATTAGAAAAATGGTCCTTTCTTTTATAGTAACCTCACAAGCTGCTGCATGAACATTTTTTTTCGGGTAAGGCCGCTTTCAATGTTCACATAAAATTTTGGAAACAGTTTGAATGTTTGTTGATAATAATAGCCGTTAATTAGTTCAAAGATAGGTCTAGAATGTTCTATTAATGTATATACATTGTGTTTTTCATATTCAATGTGTTCTTCCAGCGCTGGACATTTAATTAACCTCCGTTTCATAAAATTCTTTTTGTTTTCTAGAATGTTTTTCATAAAATTATAGTAATTCTTTTTCTAGCTACTACCTTTTTGTTTTCTATTTTGGTATAGAGCGCCCTTATATTTTATTTTCATTGATGATTTTCTTCTACAGGTAGCTTTGATGAGATGGTCAACAAGCAGACAGATTGTTTGACTAATGTGTGAGCAGATTCTGTCTTCTTTAAATCGCATGTTATCTCAAATGTTGTGGTTTTCCTTTTCTCTTAATAAGCTCAATATATAATTACTAGTGAGAAAATTAATAAACAATTTCTTCTTAATTAAGCATACTTAAGCCTTATTACATGCTTATCTTTCTAAATGTCATTTCCAGTTCAATACTAAAACTGCAAAAAGGAAAACGTGGATTTATTGTGATAATTGTTACTTAACTGATGGAGTCACCAACTTATTTCACCCGTTTTGATACGATTTAAGCCTGTACATCCTTTTCAGACAATGGCCAACTTTTTTTTTTTTTTTTGGGCACAAAAAAGTACAAATTTATACCAATTTTACTTGGATGTAAAGTATAAGAAAACCTTTTGTTACAAGTTTCTTTCTGGACTCATAGTGTCAACTTTCGAGAGAGACAACAATGGCACACAAGCCTAGCCTTCCAAGCAACGTTAGTTTTTAGTGATCATAATAGGTTTTGGTCCCATTGCATCCTGCACAAGATCACCTAATTATTATTTGAAACTAAACTTTTTAAATTTAAAAGGAGAGGAAAAAAAAACTCAATATAGAAGTTTTTTTTGGAATAATTGATTGCAATATTAGTTATTTTTCTGTTTCAAATTAAACAACTAATATTTACCATACACACCTCTATATTATAATCAGCTAGTCCAATCAGTTAGACAGACGTTACTAACTGAATGAGCTATCAACTATCTGCTAGCCACCATAATAGTATATATATTCACACCTAACCACAATCAAATCACGATCCTTTCATCAAATTTCATATTTGATTTTATATTTACTCTTAGTAACATTGTAGTGCACACCTGATACTCTTAATTAAGAGAAGATGTAAGAAAAATTCAATGTAACAGGGATTAATTTCTTGATAAAAATATCAACAAGCTTCTCTCTACTACCATTCATCTAGAACACTAGCTAGAAAACAAAAATTAAGTAAAAAAGCGTGCATATATATAACTTTCATTATATAGTATATAAATCTCAAACACTGAACACTCATCACAAAGATCCGGCACTAACCACAGCCTAATAACACCGTAAAAATCACCGTGGTTATCATCAGATCACGATAATCACAACAATTATCGACTAATTAAGCTGCAATTTTCCGATTACTGCAGCTCGATCGTACATACCACCCTTCATTGTTCTTCTCATAACGTTTTTCGGTTCATTTAGTAGTTATAATTAGTTCATATTTCCATTTTATTATTTACAAGAAACTGTGTATATATAAATAATATAAAAATCATCAACATAATGTTGACTCACTTCCACATATATATATCTTCGCGATTCAAAAATCCTCATTTTCCTTCGAAACCCTCGTCCTGGCTGAGCTGTGAGGCCACGAATTTATCGAGCACCCTCCAATCCGTCACCTGCTCTCCGGAACCTTCCGGAATGTTCCCAAACACCGACTCGAAATTGTGGTCGCCTAGGGTTTGGCGAATGTCACGAGCAAGCACTAGACCATTCAGAAGGTTGTTTCCTGGGTGGGCCGGGTTTGTGGGCCCATAGGAATGGATTGGGCCGTGGGCGAAGTTCGGGCTTTCTAAATTCGGGAGCTGGAGAAAGTGATCAGTCGGGATGCCGTTGTACGATAAATCCATTTCCTTTTTGCATGAAGTACTATTGTTGTTGTTGTTGTTAATGTTGTTGTTGTAAGAGAAAGCGTAGTGAAGGCTCGGGGGAGAGTCGATATCGGACATGAAGGAGGCATTCTCGTCGTACCAAATGGGTGAGTCGACTCGTTCGGTGAGTTTACGAGTCGTGGTGGCAATTCTTTTCTTGAACACTCGACAGACGACCCATCCTTCTTCCTGCACGCACGAACGACTACTTTTATATATTAGCATCGAGTGTCGATCGATGTATATATGTAATTGCGATTTCAAAAATTTTATTTTATGTGTGTTTTTTTTTTTACAGAATTAACTGTTGTGCTTAATTTTTTTTTATGTTAAGGATGAAGATCACTATTTTTATTGAGATGTTTCAAATTAATGAACACTTTATCATGGGGAAAATTTTCAAAAAATAGTCAGAGTCCAATATGGATTAATTATATTAAATCGG